TATGTTTAATAAAAAAATCATGAACATAATCACTCTTATTGTCGCAACTAGATGTAATATCTTATTCAGTTTATATTTGTGTCCTTGTAACCAAACTGTGTCATCGTATTTTTATTTTACGTCTCCAAGCTCGTATTTTGACATCATAATGTTTCACTGCTTGAGAGTTGGGATATAAAAAATATTGTTAGTGTTTAAATTGTTACACCGAAAATTCTATAAACAGTTTATATTAAGTAAGATTTATTGCTTCTTTGTTTGTATAATACATATTTAAACTACATTATCACTAAGAAATCTCTAGGGATTTCTCTTAATTAGTCTTAAATTCTTTAAAAATAAAGTTCTTAATGTTCTCATAATAAGATGTAAGACTTTCGCGAGTATTTATTTTAATATTATCGCGTTTTTCATCTCGTCTGCCCGTGATCACGGTTGCTGCAAAGTAACCGAAACTTCGGGAGTGTTTTTAAAAATAGTAAAAAACGCGTAGTAAATCCGATATATTAGTCTCATTTATCTAAATATTCAGTCATATTTTGTAAACTATTTCAACTCTCGCCTATCCCTTCACTTGTAATAATTATTATTCAATTATATTAAACGGTCTGTAATTTTGGCTCCATTAATTATTCCTATGTAAATATTAATTTAATATGTATGTATTCACACGTTGTTTACTTATTTGTCTGTAACACACACCAACATTTCATTTGCTGGTTAAACATTTGATACTTGTTTTGGTTAAAATGCGTTTTATATACTTTTTTCATTTAAATGAAACTAATATACTACGTGGTTTTATTTTATGAAATATTACATAACTACAAAACTATTACTTTCATTTAAATGAATTTAAGTCACGAAAGTTTTAGATCTCTTTATATACTTTTTTTGGTAAAAATTCGTACTGATTTTTCTGTTTATGAGGTTTTAAGGAAAAAGAAATACATAAAATTTCTCTGTGTTTATATAGCAAATTATTCATTACTATTTTGTTAACAAAAACTAAGCAATAATCTATAACTATATAACTCTTAATTTAGTTTTTATCTAGATGATTCAGAAAAAGTATTATTCTAAATGATATATATGTTATTAAAACCATTTATAACTACATATATAAGTACTCCAATACGTAGCATATTTCAATTTTCGTTTTCATTTTATATGTTGGACTTATCTAAAGGTTCAAAAAGGTAAAGCAATCGCCCTCAGGGACAACGCTGTTTTGTTCCGATTCAATCATTATATTATAATATTTTTGTGCTTTTGGGATTAAAAAATATGTTATTGTTAAGTATTATATATTTTATTTTTGAAAGTACTGATATATTTTTATTACTTTTAAGTTAAATATGGCTCTATGAACATTATTTTCACATGTATTATTGGTTAAATATATGAATTTGGTAATGGATTGTGATATAAATCGTACATTACTGAAAGAACAATTTCTAAAACAAAATTTAATCTAAATAATAAAAAGTTTAATCTTATAGTTTTTGGCCGCACAGCCAAAAATTCTTTATATTCCTCCTATTAGTTTAAGTCTGACGGTTGGCAAACGTCATTGAGCTATCCACTAGGAGAATGTATCCGTGGGGAATTTGAAGAACTTTTCATATTGAACTATTTTATTTGGTACTTTCTTGATACTATGACAAAATATTTAACTTTAATGTAAGAAAAGTTTCTTACAATTATGTTAACAAGATGTATATACATATTTCGGTTACGATGTATTGAACAAAATAAATATCACACATGACTTATTCCATCGGGATTTTTCTACCATTCCGAATTACTTCTTTGTCATACCTAACTCACATTACTATCAAAGGTAAAATAATATAAAGTTTAATCAATATCATAAAATAATATGTAATTATTTATATTTACTTCTAATTTTAATTCAAAGCATATAACAACACAATCTAATGATTGCAAACACTTTGAAATTTTAACATAATTGTTCCGCTTTGTCACTGCGACCCTCGTCACTGGACAATTAAATTTGCAAAAATGAATATGTCAAAGACAAGAATATAATTTGTTTTATAAACGTTTGGAAAGTTTCGAAAATATTTTCTAGTTTTTTTTCCTAATTTATTATCATAAAATTTATTATTTTTATTATTTTCACAAAAATTTTGACTTTACACGATGATTTTGCCGTTTTGTATAGTTATATGTAATTATTTTATTAGTATATTTGGTTAAAGCAAGGAATCTTTCAAATTCATGCTAATATATTTATACTGAAACATAGCTTAGGAAGAAAAAAATATAAGAATTTTAAATAAAAATACAAACTTCCTTCTACCTGGCAATTTCCCAGCTTTAGCCAGGGTCTACCTTACATGTTGTGAATAGTTTTGGCTAATTGTTTTTACGACCGGCGGCCTGCCTGATGTCTCAGTACTCTTAGAAAGTACATATGACTCGGAAAATCACATTGGCACTTGCCGGGGCCAGGTTCGAACCCGCGCCCTCGTACATGAGAGGCGGGCCTTTTCACTACTAGGCCACCACTGACTAAAATAAGAAAAATACAAACTATAGTTTTGTATTCCATAACCTAATCGGAATTAATTTAAGAAGTCCGATCAAAATGGTTAAAGTTGGTCATGATGATCAAAGTTTACACAGGACCGTTAATTCTACTTCACCCTTTAGTGAAATATCCAATTCATATTAGAATTATTGGATATCAAGATACAACCATATTTATAGACACAAGCCATATTTTTTTTGGAAGACGTTCTGTTTTCTCTACAAAATAAATGGAACGCTACTGAAAGGTTCATATATATATTTATGTCAACGCAAATATCTAAAATGAAATCTATAAATGTAAAATGATATTGAATTGTGGTAAATAGCAACACTAAATTCAATGTTTCATACAGGTAACAGGATTGTATATGTATACATTGAATAATAGAAAAAAGATGTTGTAGAATAAAACATAAGTAATTTTCAGTTGGTCTAAATATCCCTTTAATTAATTCTATGATTTAATCATATCAAAATAAACAACACCTATTTTAAGTGTTCAATATACAAGTATATCAAATAGTACACATTTTTCATCTTTTTAAACTTTCCTTACAAGACTTGATGGAACTGTATTTTATTATATTAGCATATAACAGAAAAGAAAGAAATTATTGCATTAGGTTGTAAAGTGAGGCAAATGAAATGTTTGTAATGAATTTAGCATATATGAAAAATGTATGCAAGTACGATCTACAGAACAATTAGTGTTTAACTTAATATATGCAAATTAATGTAAGCTACAGTTGCCTTGTCTTGTCGCTTATACATATATAAATTCACGCTTGGTTTCATTCTAATTCAATAATTCATGATAATATTAACACTCATACATAATACTTCAGTACCGTCAGCAGCAGAATAACACGAATAATATTTAAAATAAAACTGTAACAGCAATTGTATTAAAAATATTGTTTTTTAAATAAATTTCTATTTTTTTGGTAGCTGTACCAATGTTCGTAAATATGGTAACCTTCACGCATGTCTGAGCATAAACATGACAAACCGTGACAGAATATTTAAGCTTATTACGAAACATACAAAAAAACGAGCTATTACGTGGATATTAGCGTCCATATTTCCATAATCACTTAACGTCAAATTGCTTGTAGGTTTCGTGTATGGAATGTCTAAATAAAATTATATTAGCGTGAAAAACTGCTGTCGGAATACTGAATACTCTGAAAATATATAGCGTTAGAGAGAATGTTTCAACGTTTCTTGAAGACGTACGATGTCCTAATCGAATAGATTTTAGACACGAAATTAATGTCAGCAGAGGCCAAACAATATTCTAAGAAGCTTTTATGTTTTAATTAAAAGAGAAACTTATATATAGATGTTATTTTAGTAATGAGCTACATTCAGGATACAATTTCATACAAAAACAAAAGTAATTTTTATTCATAGTTTATTGTTTTGTCAAACGTATATTTTTAGACAAATATCTCGATTTACTTGAAAGTATATTTTATTATTATACTCATGTATATGTGCATACATAATACATTAATAATTTCTATAACAATGTCACTGAACTACTACGAACAGACAAATTAATTCAGTTAACGAACTAGCACTCAGAATATAATGGAGTTACTCCGGATTTACCTTTGTCTTACTTTTGCTAGTTTGCAAGTCGAGATATTGTTCTCTTATTCATTTAGTAGCAGTTTTAAAAATATATTTGAGTTTTAAGGCGACGTTATAATGATTGTGAACAAATTAGGAATCTAGATTGGATTTTTTGTTACAATAAATGAGAGCGGAGCTAATTTGATAAGATCAATTAGCGATGGCAGCTTTAAAATAACGACTAGCAGGTGTCCATTAAACGACTGAGTAACTTCTCTGATGACTAAATTAATGTTAAGAATAATGTTTCGTATATTTTTATTATAAAAAAAGTAGGCTTTATTATATATGTGTTTAAATTTAATATCCGTACTTAGTAATAAAAATTTTGTAAAAACTATATGTAAAATGTGTATAATACACTGGCTCTATTTTATATCCACCTAATTTCATTATTGGAATTTAAAATATATTGAAAAAAACTCATATTCAAAATTTTACCTTTACTTTATAAACTTTACCTCTCAAACCTAATTCATTCGGAACTAAAAATTTTAGCAAGGTGTTCCAATTGTCCTCTTCTAATTCCATACAAACTACCATCGTCAGTAGTATCAATTTTGCAAATTTTATTACAACAAATTTTCTCTCCGCAGGTAAAGATAAGATAAGATAAAAGATGTACTCAGCGCCGAGTCATTCGCAGCGAGTTGGACAGCGTCATTCTTAAGAAATGGAATGATTTTCATGTAGTGCTAATATATTTTTAAAGTGAATTAATATATAATGACGATAGTGATTGAGTAAAGGGTCAAGTGAAATGTCAATTTTGTGAGTTATTAAAGTGATAGTTGTAGTGAGTCATGGGTTGTCAGCTGGGTAAACTGGCTGCTTCTGAGCGAAGAGGAAACAATCAGGATCTTGGTGATGGGCCACCACCTGCCACAGATCCTCGGCTGCCTTTAACAGCAAAGCAGAAGTACTCTATGCTGGCCTCATGGAAAGGAATTTCGAGGGCCATGGAAAAAACTGGAATTTGCATGTTCATTAAGTAAGTTTTATTAAAGTAATATATTAATAACTTATTAAAAAACGATAAAACATAGTTTTATATGAAAAAGTAAGCATATTTACATAAATTTATGATATTTGCATACCAATAAGAGTTCAAACTATTGCAAGATGGAGTTCAACAAAGTCGTTTTCCGTCCGCGATCGATTCTGCAGTTTTGCTGAAAGATGAATAATAAATAATGCCTTTGAAGGCGAACGAAACATCTTTGCGTGTTTTTTATTCGTACTACTTTTCTTGCTATGTTAAATCGTTACGTCATTTATGGCTGTGATAAATTAAGAATATCGTAATTTCTATACGTATTACCTTTAGTTCTTTTCTTATAGACATAGATATTAGACACTTCTAATTAAATAATATTACAATAAATAATATTAAATTCAAATTTATAAAAAGTAATTAAGAAATGAATGAAGTTTTACGTTGCAAAGAAATATTTTAAGGGGACTTCGTAAATCTTCTTAATCATTGAAATTCATTTTTCTCAAGAGTTTCATATGTTTTTTTTCAGTGTCAGTACGAATTAATCAAAAAGGTTTTCCTAAAAGTATTATTTTTATATAAATGTAATAGACAGTGCTTGACTTTAAGTCATTTGTTAATAGGTGGAAAAAAGCCACAGGTAGTGAAAGTACTATCTCAGTAACAGCCTATTCAGTCTTGCTTTGAATATAATTTCTTTTACATTGATAAAAGAAAATGCCGGAATTAAAGCGTGTAAAACCTGTTCAAACTTTCAAAAGTGTATACTATGGAATACCGAGAGACCGTCTGCTTTATATAATCTTATCAGCCTTGCGAGCCGAACTAACCAAGATAGACTCTAGATTAGTTTTTTGCATTTCTCTCCACGAGAGTTAGTGTTTAACTAAGACGATGTTGTGCATTGATTAAATGTGCCATCTCTGCTTCGTGAGTTTTTGTGAGCCTTGCCTATGAGTTCGATTAACTTATGATCTCACGTTTGATCCCATCTATCATTTTCCTACATAAAATCAGTCAGCAATAAGCCTTTCGAGGTTGAACTCAGAGCAACGTCCCTGAGAATGTTAGAGATCTAGCCAATCCGGGCCAAGGAATATGAATTAACTAGAAATCTTACCAGTAAGGCTACCGTGTCAAATGCTATCAAAGGGTGATATCAAATAAAACATAAATATGTCGTGCACTAGAATACCCAATCGACCGATTTTAGTCAATAGTATTAGTTACTGGAAATAAAATTGCCTCCTAGGTGAGCCATCGAGTGTTGGTTCAATGTATGTTCTATAATCTCATGTAGTAAAGAGGTTCTTAATTAAAATCGAAAGGTAATTAGCAAGATTTGCAAGGCATACAGTCTTAGCTACAGCTACCACGTTGGAAAGCTTCCAAGATTTAACCACTCTATTAGTCATTATCAATCACTGTTACTTTCTTCTTTGAAGTATGTGCTAATGTCTCTTCGGATTTTGTCAGAAGAGAATGATAGGATTAGCATAAATTTATCACAACTTCTGTGTCTGGTCCAAAAAATCTCTACAACTAGAAAATAGAGTTCAGTTCTATTCCAATTTGGAAAATTGTACCCCATATTTACCTTTCACTTTTAGCGAATTTACACAGTTGGCGGAATAGTCTTCTGTTTGCGGCTATCTCACAAATCATGTTCCCTTCTGGCTGTGCTTCCTACGCTGAACAGTCGTTTTTTGGATACAACGATTAACGTAATTGAATCCATCTTCTATATGACTTTATCAGACAATATAACGAAACTCTGAGAATCAGTTGACGGCATCATTTTGTGTGATGGGTCATAACCATGCCGGGGACTGAAGTTATATTTATCAGTGGTTAAAAGTACACATTATACACATTATGCCCCTCAGTGGGTAAAACATAATAAAATGTGTTCTTTATATTTTTAGTAAAATTATACCCAAGAAAAATAAAATTCACTTCTAAATATACACTTACATCAAAAATACATCATTTTAAAAGCACGAAGTGTATTTGTTTACTCTACTTTGGCTCTAGAGTTTTATTATCAACCTTATAATAATAATAACATTTTATAAGAGTATATTAATATTGAGAAGATTTCATTAAATCTCTTTAAAGTTTTATTTTTCTTTGCTATATATTTTTTGTTACGACCTCTCAGATAAGTTCTTTTTTTTTAGTTTATTTGAACTTATATAAATAAATATAATTTCTAAAGCAAAAGTACTTTAAGTTAATCCATCATTAACTATCTACCAGAAGAAGGCTTGTCAAATCTTTCTACCCCGTCTAGAGATTACTCTGAATAAACAGATTTACTTATGATATTAAATGATTAATACCTCGAAAATACACTCAAACTTTATTAACGTGTATAATTAAATTACTTTTCGATACTTTTTTTACACAAATTGCTATAAGTATTATAAGGTTTTAAATAAAGAACCATCAAAGTGAAAATATAGGTATGAGTAATCTAAATGTATATAAAATATATAAGTGAAAATTGAGAGCAATAGAAGGTAAATAAAAGTTAAGTGTTTTTTGGATAAACTAAAATATTACATCATAAAAGGCTTATTGAGAACTACACGATCAACTGAGGCTTTAACTAAATTAATTTTATTGATACAGCACCACTTCATGCAGTCAACAGTGCTTCAATTCACCGTACTTGAAATACCTCTCGACTATATTTAATATGGATATGACGTTAGAAATTCAAATAAAATATTTTTATTTATTATAAACGTCACGTTGAGGGTCTTTGGCTTAAATTATTGTGAATAAAATTTTCCTTTTGCTATTTAACCATGTTTAATTATTTAAAACTTATAATGGCAAGCAAGTTTTCACGTAATTATTGTACGACAATTAATTAATATTTTTAAGAGGGTTGATGTCAGGCAGACGGCCAGTCGTAAAAATAAATAGCCAAAACTATTCACAACATATAAGGCAGACCCTGGCTAAAGCTGGGAAATTGCCAGGTAGAAGAAGAAGAACAATTAATTAACGTTTTTGTATACATGTAAATATACAATTTCCTTATCAGGTAATTTTAATTTAAAGCAGTCGTTGTGACAATTTAACGTTATTTTTTCTGACATTTCAATCAAACTATAATTTCGAAAAATTGTACATGAGTTAACTTAAAACTAATTTAAATGAAACTAATATTTTCGGATTATAATACGCGTATTTAAGTATTGTAAAAACTACATACTTACTTCCGACGTTTTGGTTACTTTGCATTAACCGTGATCCCGGGCATTCACATCTCGTCTGGTCTTAATCAAGGTTGCTCAGTTGATCAAATGAATCTTCGCGAAGTCTTACATCTCATTATTAAATTAATTGTATTCAAATTGAGGATATAAACTGCCACCGAGCTTTATTTTAGGTTACTTATTATAAACTGCAGACAAATTTCTATTTCTTAACAAACATTTCTATAAGATTAATGTAATAGAATTTGGTTAGTCAAAATACATATAAATGAAGAATATCTATCAACATAAACGTAGTTTTTGCTTGAAATATATTTGATGTAGATTTTTTCTGTAACAAGTGCAGCCCGAGTTTACATAGAACAGTTTATTTTAAACTCTAGTTTCAAAAAGATATAAATTGGGTCACATAATGTTGGTTTGTTTTGTTGAAATAATTCATATTATATGTCATGCAGCAATTATTGAGAGACCTGTTAGGATTACCTAGTAAATAGTAGTTTTAAATGTAATTATGATAAGTGACGTTTGTTTATGTTAAACAAATTCGAGTGACTGCAATATCAAACAGTATCAATATTGAAATAAACAAAATGAGTTAAAAACCTTTTTCATTTCAAATCTAGAGAAAACTAAAATGTGATGACTAAAAGTTTCGTTCCGAGCGTTCTCTAATATAAAAAGAATGGGTATTTAATAATTATTCTCATTGAAAGACAGTTCCAAGTAGAATGGAGTTTGGGAATGTCTTGGAAACTTCTAAATTAGAGCAAAGAAAACAGAAACATCATCTAACTTAAGGAAACAATGTAAATAAAACGGTTCTCAGACATTTATAACATTATTTTTGTTATCAACCATTAATGGTATAAAAAAGTAATTAGAAATACACATATTTTTGAGAAAAAAACTTTTTGTCATAAAATTTTTATATCTAAATTGATATGAAATCAATTTTATCATTCCAGGTCAATAATGTTGTTGAGATAATGCCTCGAGCGCATATTATTATCAAATGTACATAAATTATTGATATTTGTATAGCAAATGACTTTTGCTACATATTGTAAATAATTTTATGGCATTGATTTTTTGTGTTAGGTATTTATAATTTTCTTCAAAATAACCCTGTTTAGGGAATATTGCCTTGTTCACGCTATTTAGCTTTTTGTTTAGTCACTACCATGTTTTATATCTATATTAAACATCACATCATTAGCCTATCAGAGTCCACAGCTGAGCAAAGGCCTCTTCTCACATGGAAAAGATTTGAGCATTAATCACCACGCTTGCTCAATGCGGGTTGGTGATTTCAAACTTATAATTGTGAAATTATAAGTCCAGGTTTCCTCACAATGTTTTCCTTCACCGTCTCACCGTTTAGTTGAACAGTAATAACAGTTTTAAAACTATATGATTATCGTAAAAAGCATTTTATCTTCATTCCGCTACAGTTTATTACAGTGAAAATAATGTAATTTTTTATTAAAGGTATCTTAATGAATATTTCTTCGTTGTTTCCCCGTGAATGCAACTGGACGTTAATAATAGCGAGCAGCCATTTTGTTTTTCCACCCTAGTTCCCTTCATAACAATGGTTTATCTATACGCGCAGTACAGCCACAGCGTTGTGTATTATTAATTGCATCTTATTTTCCTTCATTGCTTTTATGTTATAGCAACTTAAATAATTATATAACGATTGCAATTTTTATTAATTTATGTATTTTCTGTTATATAAAATAAATACATCAAAGAAACCTT